AATGCAGGGCAGCGCCAGACCCAGCCCTGACCCTCCACAACTGTCACCCTGCACGTGTACCCAGCTCCTCTCAATCTGGAAACCCGCAGCCCCCAGGGCCCTAGTGCCCAAGCATGTGCCCCAGTGACTGTTAGGTCACTCAATTCCAGGCTCAGACCTCCCCCCTCAGTCACCACAAGCCCTTGCCCCAGGCAGCTAGAGCCAGTTCCAACAGAACTTCCTGAGCAAGGTGACTGGGCAGCAGCAAAGCCAGCCTGAGAAAGCAGCCCTGAAGCCACAGGAGTCCAACCAGTCCAACCAGAAAGTCCACAGGCCACAGCTTCCTCCTCACCCAGAAGGGGTGTAGCCCCAGGGTGGCCTTTAAAACAAAAGGTCCAGGGACCAGGTGGCAGGTCTACTCAGGGAAGACCAAGGATGGGAGGGAGAAAACCAATTTCTGGGTAGTCCCTTTAGTTTGCATTCACGGCTTCCGTTTCACTGCGCAGAAAGGTCCTCAAAGGTCCTTTGAACATAGATGTCCATGTGGGACATCTTCTCCCTGCCTGGGCAGACAGCACAGGTCGCATGATGATCCTTTCAGAGGATGCCGGTTTGATGAGTTTGAACCACTCTCCACTTCTGGAGGGAAACTACGGCAGGCGACTGTGTGGAGGTGGGTGTTGGTGCAGCAGGCGGGTGGGCGGCCTGAATGCCCAGATGCTACCACAGCCCTCCGATGGTGTCCCTGCTCCCAGCCAACATCGTCAGGACCCTCCTCAAAACCCTTTTCTACCATCGCCAAGGCTCATGTTCCCCCTCTTTGGCCAGGCCCTCGATGCCCTCTGCCAACAGGTCCCGACACTTACTCCTTAATTTAACAACATGGATGGGGGTCTGCCTGGCCCTGCACTGGGAACTATGAAAACAAAGAGGAATAAGATTTGGCCTCACCCTCAAGGCACTTATAGTTTGGGAGACAGAGAGATAAACAGAGGAACGTTCTCACTCTTCTCCTACAAACTCTCTTCTGCTGCAGCCAGACTGCCCAGAGTCCCAGGGACACCCACGCGGTTCCCACCTCTGTTATCTCTGCCATGCTACTCCATCTGCTGCAGGAGCAGCCCACACACGGAGGCCTAGCTTCATCCCTCCCTGCCAGTTCTAGGCCACAGGGCCTCTCTCCTTCTCCAACCCCCGGCAGCACTTGGTCGTGGCAACAGCACTCATGGTCCCACCACCATTCGCTGGCTGCTTTATGGCGCATCTCACGTCATAATTTAGCTTCTGATACCCACTGTAAGACCTTCGTTCAGAGTAACCGTAGTGATCCTAATCGATCCCTTACATTTGAAGTGTGTTTCATCAAGTGCTTTCAGATATATTATCTCATCTTGGCAATAGCTCCTTTTTGCCTATGTCTTGCCTCCCCAACGAGATTATAGGCTTCTGTGGGCAGAAAAAAGTAGGCAGCTATATGTCTCTAAAATGTCTGGCACGGCACTTTGTGGTGAATGCTCGATTAATTTCTTTAACAGGTAAGAAAAGGGATGACCGCGCCCCTCTGCACCCAGCCCCATCTGGGCCAGCACAGCAGCATGGCAAGAGAACGCCGGTAGCAGAGCTCCGGCTGCAGGGCCACCTCCCCACCTGCTGGCCAGAAAGAAGAGACGGATGGGGAGAGGGACATTCAGTGCCTCAGTCTAGGGAGGTCTCCTCCCTGCTCCCTGGCAGGCTGTCTCTGGAATATCACCGGCTTGTGGAGTACACAGTAACTCACAGAAGTGCCATCAACATGAGGTGAGCCAAGAATCTGGTTTATCTTGGCACTAATTGGTGAATTGTCTTGTTTTCCCCATTCATTAAAAAAAAAAAAAAAAGACCCTGGGGGAGGGGGCAAGGGGCCTAGGTCAATGCCCAGTCTGGTCAAAGGGTATGGTTTGGACAAGGCACAGCTTGAGAGTGGTGACTGTGAGTATCATTCATCTTGGAATCTCTAGGTCTTAGTGCACAGCCTAGCACGCAGGACACACACTTTTTAATAAGTTAATGAACAGGGCTGGGAACGGTGGCTCACGCCTGTAATCCTAGCACTCTGGGAGGCCAATGCGGGTGGATAGTTTGAGCTCAAGAGGTCGAGACCAGCCTGAGCAAGAGCGAGACCTTGTCTCTACTAAAAACTAGAAAGAAATTAGCTGGACAACTAAAAATATATATAGAAAAAATTAGCCGGGCATGGTGGCACATGCCTGTAGTCCCAGCTACTCGGGAAGCTGAGGCAGAAGGATCGCTTGAGCCCAGGAGTTTGAGGTTGCTGTGAGCTAGGATGACGCCACGGCACTCTAGCCCGGGCAACAGAGAGAGACTCTGTCTCCAAGAAAAAAGAAAAAAAAGTTAATGAACAGGACTTGGTAGCACCCATTTCCTTGGCTCCTTGATTTGTCTCCTGGCTGCTGCTTCCATCTCCATGGGAAACTTTCTGTATCACTTAAGGAAAAAGCTTTTCTTGACCATCCAACACCTTCGCTTAGGTTTTAGTTAATGCTGAAAAACAGATCCAAGACACGGTAGAATCACAAGCCCTTAGTTAAGTTTTAAATAGGAAAGCATTTACAAAATGCAGCTGCGCAGGTTACAAAAGGCTGGTATGAGGAAAGATAGATTTCTTTCTATTCCACAGAACCCAAACTCCTAAAGAGTCTTGTGGAAAGGGGGACCAAGCCATGAGCAGCAGAGGAAGGACTCTGGGGACCATCTTCAGGTTTTAGACCAATATCCCAAGGGCCTTCAGGGGTGAGGGTGCTGCAGAGACACCCCTACCAAGTTCACTGATTTACCTCTGCCCCAAACTGGTCTTCCCTAGAGAGTTTCTGAGGAAGTCCCTGTGACCTGTCTACTATCCACCTATTAGCAGGCAGAAGCTGTAACAAGGGACATGACAAGGTGAAGAGATAAGAAGAAGGGCTGGTGATTGGAGGTGTGGGGCAAGGGACTCTCTGTAATGAAAGCACCAGCCTCAGAGGGCCATTCCGGTATTTTAGAAACAGGGGTTCCCTCATTTTCCTGCTGAAAAGGAGGACACGAACACGTGTCTCCTAGGGGATGCTAACTGCCACGACACTAAGCAGGAGGCCTAAGAGCTTCTAAAATGAGGTGGTTGAAGGAGGCCCTCAAGGGGAAAAGCCCAGGTTACTCCTAGGACTTGGAATGTGGCCAGGATCCCAGGGTGCAAACTGCTGCTCTTCAGGTAAAAGCCAGGGGGCCCCCAGGCAGCCCACAGCTCTCTGCAGATAGCTCAGCTGCTCCTGGCACAAGGCCCATCCCAAAAATAGCCACTGCAAGTTTCCTTAAATGATAACCTGCTGCCCTTTGTCCCAGAGCCTGCAACCTGTCCCCATACCCCAGCTGGTTCCTCTGCCACTCCCTCTGTCACTCCCATGCCTGTCTCCAACACCTGCCTCTTCCCTGAACCTGACCCAGCAGGCAGCCTCCCCTTGGCCAAGGCTCCCTATCCATACCTTACCCTTCTCTCTGAAATGTCTCTCATCCAAACTGTGGCCCAGCCCAAGCTCCTGGGTCTCCTAGGGGCTTGCCTTATAGCTCCTTTGAGAAAGATGGATGAGTTCCCTGACCCTAAGCTCTTTGAAGATAGCAAAACAAGGAGAGAAAGAGACCAATGAGCTCAATGATAAGGACAACAGTAAGAGCAATCAGCATTTGCCCAGCTTCACAGTGTGTCTTTGTGCTAAGTGCTTTGCACATTATCTCATTTAATCATTACAACACCTTGAGAGGTAGGTACCAGTATTATACCCATTCTACAGATGAGAAACTAAAGCTCAGAGGCTTAAGTGATATTCAAGGTCACTCTGCCCCAAAGTGAGGTCTCCAGGTCTGTCTGACAACAAAGCCTGCCTCTTAACTCTGTTAAGGCTCTGTTCCTCCTGGCTCTATCTGCTCCCTCTTCTCTCTTGGCAAGAGTGTGTTTTGAGGGAGGGGAGAGGGTGGGGGTGGAGATGAACCCTCAAGAGGAAGATGAGTGCTGGGTCCTCCCAGATGGCAGCAGGGACTTCTAGGAGAGCATTCCGATTGGATAGCCAGCCAGCCAGCAGGTGTTTCCAGGGGCCTGGGCAATGCAGAGGCTACTCCAGGGCTGAGGAAGCATGGAATCTGTTAGGTGGGGGTGGAATTTCCTCAGCTCAGACTTCCCAGAAGAGGGTTCCTTTCAGAGGGGAGGCCTCAGACCCACTCCTAGAAGAGAGTGTTGTCTAGGATGCCAGCAGGCCTTGTCTCTTTAACCAGAGGCTTCAGCACTGCCAGACCAGAGACATATTCTAAGGCAGGTACTGCCTGCCTTCTAACCCCCTGGTCTGGACAAGTATTCCTGGCACTCCTCCACCCTCTTCAGCCTTCCTCAAAACAAATGCTTGAGTCAACTGGCTCATCCCTTTCTCCTGCACTGTGGCTTCTCCCCTCATCTGTGCCTCCTCCAGGTGTCCTACCTTGCGCTTACCTTCATGGCTGTACCCTGGAAACCAATCCCTTTGACCCTCCCTTCCTCTCTTCCCCATCCTGGCTCCACATTGGGTCGCCCTGAAGTGAGGGTACCTCAGTTACTCTGCTCCCTGAGCACAAGCTTTACTTCCCCTCCCCCTCTCCAGTTGGGGGCGTGGGGATTTTATTTCAGTGGCTATGATTCTCGCTGCCCCAACTCAGGGTACCAGGCCTACACCCGCTCCCCATTTTCTCCTTCGATAGGAGGGATGGAAGTCTTCCCAGCGAGGGGGCGCAGATCCTGCTCTAGTCCCGGACGGCAGGGAGCAGGGACACCCTTGCCTGCAGGGACCGATGCTCAGGTCCCCAGCCGGTGGCCCGCTCACCCCGAGATTTATTCCTCGCCCTGGCCTCCCGCGCCACCTCCTCTAGCCCAAGGGGCAGACAATCGCCCCCTGGCCTGGGATGGGGGCGACCGCGGAACCCGCCCGGCGGGGAGGGTGGGGCGCCCTCGGGCCACCGCCCCTTACCGATGGTGGAGATGTGCGAGGAGTGGAACTCGTTGTCGGTGAAGCGGCAGAGCAGGCAGGTCTTGCCCACCCCGGAGTCCCCGATCAGCAGCAGCCGGAACAGCACATCGTACTGCTTCGCCATGGCTGGGGCTGGAAGGGGCTGGAAGGGGCCGGGGGCTGCGGGCGGGCGGCGGGCTCAGCCCCGCTCGGCCGCTGCCATCGCGGCCCGCGCCCGCCCGGGGACGCTGCGGGCGGCCAGAAGGAGGCCGGGCCCCGGACTCGCCCGCTCGCTCGGCGCCGGGGAGCGCGGCTGCGGCGGGAGCAGCGCCCGCTCGGAGCGGCTGGGCTCGCGCGCGGCGGTGGGAGGAGAGAGCGGCGGCGGCGGCCCCTGCCCGCCCCTTCCCCGGCGCCGCCGCGAGAGGGCGCGGGGAGCGCGCGGGAGAGCGGGGCCCGGCGGCGGGGGCGAGGCTGGGCGGGGCCCCGGCTCCCCACCCCGGCTCCCCGCCCAGCCTTTTTGTGCCGGGAGCCGGGAGGGGTGGGGGAACATTTTCGTTTTTCCGCGGACGTGCTGAATAGGGCGTTCGGGTGAGCTCCCACCCAGCCCACCTCTACCGTGCTCGCTTTCCGGTCTCATCACTTCCCCGCAAATCCCACCCCAAGCCTGGCCCTGGTAACTCCGCCCCACCGGGGCACCTCGCCGCTGCAGGAGCCTGGCCGGGCCCGACAGTGGTTGGTCCTCACCGGGGCTCACCCCAGGTCGGAAGGCCTCGAGCGGGGTCTGGATTCAAGACTCATCTAAGTCTCCGTGAGCACTCGAGAGTGTTGCTGGAATTCTTCCTCTCTGCCACCTGGCTTCCCCATGACATGTATGACTCTGATGTGGCCCTCCCCCTTCCCCAGTTTTTCTTTAACTGGGGAAAATGCCTACTGACTTCCTTCAGGGCGAAGAGATAGATGATCATAAAAACATCTCTAAATGCAAAATCCTTTGGAGGTGTTGTGCAGGCGTAAGTCTCCGTTTTCCCTCTAAGCTGTTTAGGATAGATGCTGAGGTTGCCAATACCTCGTTTCAGATCACTAAATATCTCTGCTGTGGTGTACACCGGTGGCACCAAAGAATGAATGGGCCTCTCTCGAGACCCAGTTTACTACTAATGAATGTGCTAGCGCCAGAGGGAGACAAATAAATGCTCTCTGGAGCTGAGAAAATTGCCTATTCCTAAGAATGTGTATTAGGGGAAAGCAAGTCTAATCTATTAGATCTTTAAAAAGCAATGAAAAAGGGTGTGTTCAAAGCCGGGATATTGGATAGAGAATGTATTTTTCAGTGGTAGGTCAAGGAAAGTGGTAAGTCCATTTACTTCATTTGAAGAGTTATATTTCAGGCAAAGTGTCTACAATTAAGAAAAAATCCTGAACCTAATAGCTACTTAAGTTACACTAAAAGCTAAAGAAACAGATCCTGTGGATTCCGTTATTTCCAGGTGCGTTTCTCTACATTGGGTTTACGCTGGCTCTCAGGTGCATGCTGAGGGCTCTGGAGTTAGGCACGCTTGGGTTCCAGTCCCAGCTCCATTGCTCACCAGCTGTGCACCCTTGAGCACATTACTGAACCTCTCTGTGCCTCAGTTTCCTCATCTCAAAATAAGGATATTTAGAGTAACTGCCTTACAGGATTGTTGGAAAGATGAAATAAGATAATGCGTGGAAAGGACCTGACACAGTACTGGCACTTGACGCAGTACTGGCACTTGACGCAGTACTGAGTAAATGCGAAGGTACAGAAACGCCCTGTAATGTTTTCCCGATGCACACCTGGGTGGCGAGAACACCCACAGATGAATATGGCCCGGGATGTTTTTGCTCATCTTAGGCCCCACCTGCTGTGATTTTCCTCCTGCCACCGCTGAAGAGAGTACAGAGCACAAGTTCAACTCAGCCTCTTGGGGCACCACGGCTGTCTTCCCACCGATCGGCGCTGTAACGGTAAGTACTCTCCACAGGGCTCCTGACCAGGACCTTTAGTGGCTCTTTGCTGGCTTCTGTTGGAAGAAACAGGAAAGAAGATGCAAGCTGAAGTGGACTCCTCACTCCACTTTGAAAGAAATGGCTTTTCCTAGGCAAGAGGGGAAAGGAAATGAGGTTTCCTGAATGACTCCACATCATGCTTGGCTGACCTCAAATTCAGTAGCTTACATTGCTTTAAAAAATGGTGAGGGGGAATAGTCTAGAAGTCCAAGCTTCAATTATCCATTCTCATCCTGGCTCAGCCACTTTCAGAACCATCATATGGAGATCTGTGTGTGTGTGTGTGTGTGTGTGTGTGTGTGTATGCGGTGAGACGGAGGAGCTAAGATTTGGGGACAATGTTAACTAAAGAACCAAATAGACTAGTGGAGACAACAAAGTTCGCTTTAACCAGGATCTTCGTAAATGAAATACCTAATTCCATCCCCTTCAGTCACTCAGTGGGACATTATGGCATCCTCCCCCATTGTGGTCACCTTAGACTCGGGCAAATTTCAGTAGAGCTGGGAGACATCTGAGGAATGGTTGCTGAACATCTCTCCCACAAGAAGCCTCCTAGAATCAGTCTCTCAATAGTGGTATACTGATTCTTTTACCAGGGAGACAAGTGCCTGCCCCTGCTCACCCCAGCCCCACCCCAGACACACTGAGCACGCTCAAGGCCACCACTGTGGAATATGCCATAGCAACAGCTGAATAACTGGAGGGATGCACCCATAGGCAGCCCATCACCAAGACTCAGCACAGCTGGAGCACGGGGCTCCTCATTGGCCAAGCCCTACGCCTCTTCTCGACCCACACCACGTGTCCAGCTCTGGGCCACTGGCAGTGCATGCACCTCACCACGTGCTCATGGTGCAGAAGGGTTTCCGCCTTGTCTCCGGCTCAGAAGAAACAGGACAGACACCCCACCCTATGGTCTCAGCACTGTCCTCCATTCACATCCTTTTTCTTTTCTGTGACAGAGATGGAGGAAAGAGACTCCGAAATGACAAGGAAAGAGGGGAGTGGGGAGATCGTCAGAGACATGAGCATATTGGGGCTGGAAACAATTCGGATGGTCATCTGTGCTGACACAGCGTGACCCACGGTACCGTTTCAGGTTGTCGGGGCGTCTTGGCCATGACCTTCAAGGCTGCATTGATTTGCTAGGGCTGACATAACAAAGTACCACAGACCGGGTGGCTTAAACAACAGACATTTATTTTCTCACAGTTCTGGAGAAGTGCAAGATTGAGTTGTTAACAGGGTTGGTTTCTTCTGAGGTCTCTCTCCTTGACTGTAGATGGCTGTCTTCACGTGCACATGGTCTCCCCTCTGCCTGTCAGTGTCCTCATCTCCTCAGAAGGACACCAGTCAGATTGGATTAGGGCCACCCATATGGCCTGAATGACCCCTTTAAAGGTCTTATCTCCAAAAATACAGCCACACTTTGAGGAACTGGGAGTTAGGACTTTAACATGAACTTGGGGGCAATGGGGACACAGTTCAGCTCATAACAAGGACCAAACCAGGAGCCTCATCAGGTAAGATTTCCAGTTCAGAGTTGTTTTAGGAATTATTTCATTCTTTAAGAATGGGGAATGAAAGTTGTGGTGTCTTTCTTGTGGCTTGCTGATGGGTGGTCTAGACTGTCAGTGTGGAGGGTTTCGTGATGGGAGAGAATCAGAAGGGAGATTCTTCCCTTTATGAAACTAGAGTTGAGAGACATGACTAGCAACCACAAGCCATGCAATATATGTCATATTCAACTTTTATTGTCAGAGTTATGGTTTGGGCAGACAAGATATAGTCTGCAGTTAGGAATATGTGCAGGAATGAGTCATTGCGTGTATTAGTTAAGGTAATGCTAATTGCTGTAAAGTCTAATGGGCAGCAAGGAGTGAGGAGTGAGGGTGGCTCTGTTCCACAAAGTCACTTAGGCACCCAAGGTGGCAGAAGCTCTGCTATTTTCAACAAGAGGCTCCCATTGCAGGACTCCTTTTCAAAGCAAGATTTGCCTTGCAGGAAGGATGGGGAGAGTGCCTGCCA